CCAATGGGGAGGCGCGGCCGCAGCCTCTGCCCTGACCCTGGCCCGCCCCCTGCCCCCGCGCTCGGCTCCGCCGCGGCCCGCCCGCCCTGCCTCCTCCCTCTGCAGTTCCAGAAGTTGTTTATGAGGTCGGCGGGGTGGCTTGTGGCAAGGTGGGACTCCGCACCGGGCAAGCGCAACCCAAGTGAGGCTAGCCGGCAGCGAGAAGTCGGTCTCCGGGAGTGCTACGGACAGCGGGAGTGCCCCTTTGCACTGGCGTCCTTTCTCCCCTGCCGTACCTTTGGGACCGGGGCAGGACTGCGAGCCCCGAGCGTCCCGCGCTCTGCCACGCCACGCGGAGCCGCTCCGCAGTGCCGCTCCCGCGTCCCTCGCTCTGCTGCCTGGCCCCCGGGCCCTCTGGGGATAATTCCGAGGGCCCAGCAGCCGCGCCCCGAGCCCAGGCGTTGCGCTCTTCCCGGCAGAACGCGGCGACTTTGCCGTCTGAAAGAAGAGGCAGGGAGACGGATCACCTGCTCCTGTGGGGTCTGGGGAAAACACTGCAGTGAAATAGAGCTAGGGGCTTTACCTGCTCTTCCCTTCCCTCAACTGGTAGACCTGTTTGCTTGCGGGGTCGTGTTGGACTGTGTGGTTTTGGTGAGGATGCGGGAGAGGCGGGCCCTCTTTTAGAGCGAGGGCCTGCTGCACCCTGCTCCCAACACCTGACCACCACCGCGTGGGCCCGGGCCAATTCAGAATTGGACAAGTCAGTCTGGCTTCCTAGTGTGATTTGGGGATAAGAATTGACAGCGTGTCCTCAAATCACAGGATTTCAGACCTGCCCTATGTGTCTCCAGTGTTTTATTGAAGCGCTAAGAACATCAAGTCTGCAGGTGTTGAGTATAGAGAGATCAGTGATCTAAGCAGGCCATTAGAGCTCCTGGATTTTCCAGCTGCGCTTTAAACTCTGCTTTCAACCCATGCTGGCCCAGGCACCTATGCTCCACGTGCCTCTGCCCCGACCCGATCGACCTGATCGATCTGCTCTCCCAAGAATCCCAGCCCATTTACTACCTACATTATGTCGATCCAGATCTCAGGATGGGACAGGGAAGGCTCAGTCTTCCAAGATTTGTGAAAAGTTTCATAGGTGTGAGTGGAAGAGAAGAGAAAGCAAGGGCCACGGGACTGGTAGCCCTCGCACTGAGAGCCTTGCTGTACGTTTTCCCCATAAGCCTTGTCAGATTTTATATTAAATAATCTGCATAATGAAACTCCAGGACTTTATGCAAAGTGAGCAGAGCCAGTCACAAAAGGACAAATACTTTATGATTCAGCTATTATGATGTATCTGAAGTAACTAAATTCATAGGAACCAAGTAGAAAGGTGGTTGTGGGGGGGATGGGATGGGAATTAGTGTGTAATGGGTATACAGTTTTGCTTCTACAAGATGAAAAAATTCTAGAATCTGTTGTACAAAATGTGAATATATTTAACTCTACTGTACACTTTTAACATGATTAGGGTGGTAAATTTAATGCTAGCTTTTTTTTCTACCACAATACAAAATAAAAATCAAGAAAAAATAGTTGTAAATGGAACTTTTTTTGGTATAGGTTTGTGTTATCACCAAAATACAAAGTAAACATTTTTCCCTTGCACGCCAGGAGGGGTGGGGCTACTTTTCAGGGGCCTTTGGAAGGCACTGGACAGCAGAATAGAGAGAGGAGAAAACTTGCTGAGAACTGGGGAACCAGGCACATTTTCTCATTTTCCTAGAGCCATGAGCGCTGTGTACACAGACTTTGAAATCAAACATCATGCCTGACAGCAAGGGATTCAAACAAAGATTGCGAATCTCTCTAGGGAGCCATTTCTTGAGACTGGTAGGTTTCAGAAATGGAGTGATTTCATACTGGGCTTCTCCAGCCACTCAGTCCTAGTGGACACATTTATTTATCTTAATAAAGAGATTGGTAAGACAGTGCTTCCTTAACCGACAATAAGCTTACTTATCTCACTTGGTGCTGGAGTGGGAGAAGAAACAGGTGCTTTGGTGGCTTCCAGGTGTTCAGATGGCTCACTGTCTGAGGAAGGAGAAAATTCCTGAGTCCTGGGCTATGCTTAAAAGTCACAAAGCAACATCTCCAACGTACACAGAACATTTCAGCAATGCTGAGCTTATGAAATTTGATTTTTTGATATTAAAAAAAAGAAAGAGGAAAGGTAAAGTGTCACTCAACACATCTACCGTATTAATATTGCTCCTTCCCCATGGCCAGCCTGCCCATCTTTCTAATTGGGATTTTGCCCTCTAAGTGAAAGGTCCCCAAGCTCCGATAAACAACTGGATGGATATTATGAAAATCCTAGGGAGTAACTTTGAAGAGTCTGGGATTTTGGCAGTGTCTGAGAGATTCACCAAAAGCCCTATATAGAAGGATTGGACCCAGCCTTGCTTAGAGCAGAGCTGAGCAGCCCAATGACCTCTTAAGATTTCTTCCAGGATGCAGTTAAACAACCTCTGCAGGAAGGAGCTGAGAGTGTAAACCCAACACAGGCCTGTGGCTAGAGTGTCCCATTTTACTTTTTAATGCCCATGGAGCACTGCAGGAGAAAAGCTTTAAAAGATGATGGCGGAAAGAGATGGATTCCAGGATTTAGAGGAGTGTCTCTAGAGACAATGATCTTTTGGCCACAGAGGGCAGCAGAGGGCATCACTAGGCAAAACTCCCAAGCTGCTTCAAACGGGAGCAGCTGCCCATTTCCCAGCAAATCTCTCTACCTGTCCCCCAACCCTAGACTGGACAGCTTGGCAACACAGTCTGTGACCCCAGGAGAATACTGACTTGTTTTAATGTGGGACGAGACTGGGTCTCTAGCTTCCTCTCTCCTCTGTAGAGCAGACATACCCTTGGGAGGATGGGATAGATGGAGACAAATTGTTAACTTACAGATTTGGTCGAGAGCAGACACCTGGGCTGCTGTGGGCAGGTGGAAGACAGAGGGTCTTGATAATCCTGTTAAAGTAACAGTATGACCCAGGATGTGGTTGGAAATTAGGTTGGGATGGGTGGGATCTAACAGGAGAGGAGATCTTGGAGGTCTGGGCTATTTCTTTAGTATTTTACAACTTTCATTGTATTGTCACATGTCAGGGCTGGGGTGCAAAATTTCAGGGGGCATTCACTCTCTGGTGGTAGTAGCCCTGGCCCTGCACATGTGTTATCTAATGGAATAACCATTGGGCCCTAGTCCCGCCATTTATTGGGTTGGAAGGGAAGTCACCCATTCCCTCATATTTGCCTGTTAGTCCTCCAAACAAAACCAGCTCTTAAATTGTGACTTTAGGAGTCTATCCTCACACTCATCAATGAACTCTATGACCAGAAAACCATACCTCCTGTGTTTGGCTTCAGGCCAAAGCCGGAACATATGCTATATCTATAGTTAAACATGACTTTTGACCCTACAAATCCAGATTTTGCCATCTTTCAAAAAGAATTCGGGATTCTTATTGAGGAAAGGGTTGAACATTTGTTTCTACTTGAATTCTTAGTGCTTACTAAGAAGAAGGACCCAGTTTTAAAGAAACCAGTTTTCCCACCCCCATATCTGGATTATCAGTGACTTAGAGACTAATGTCTTTGCCCAGGAAAGGTCTTGTGTGTTTGTCATTTGGTCATTCACCAAATAGTGAAGGAGTCATTGGTCCATGGCCACTGTGTTATGTGGATTCAAGAAGAATGGAAGGAATCAATCTGGAGGGAGAGAGAGACGGTGGTTCCCTTCCCTCCAGGAGAAGACAATCCAGTTGTGCACCCACTGCATTTCCCAGATTATGAGATACACATTTACTTATTTTTTAAGGCTTTTGAAATCAGTGAGCATCAATACATAATGATTCCTTTCTTCCTCTCCAGAACTACTTTTAAATTAATATGTATATATAATTTATATATTCTTAAAACGTTTTAAATATAAAAGTTGAGCACAAAATCATATGCTCTAAACAATAGGTGTTGCAAGGATTTGGTGGTGGTGGGTGGGAGGGTGGAGAGAGTGTATAAGAAGGAAGATAAAGCTAGAGTCCCAGCCATCTTCACTGCTAGGAGTAAGAGATGCCTCGCCCAGACTGGCCCGTCTGCTAGGCTGGTGGGTGCGATCTCTGTGGGAGGAATGGCCTATAGGAAGGATGTGCCAGCCCCACCTTAGAGCACAAAGGGCACAAGCAGAAACGAAGGTGCTACTATCAAGAGAGATGATGACATTAGGCCTCAAGCAGTACTGCTCTGAAGTCTGGTAACTAAGAATGGCACCAATTGGGGGTCAGAGACACCCTCCTCACCGCTACAGTGTGGCTTTGGCCTGTAAGGGGTGT